ATACATTTTCAAAACATTAATTTGTGTTTTGAAACAGCGGAAGAGAGTGGAACGAACCATTGAAGTCGTGCAAGGGCCAAACTCAGCCGTTCATGGGACAAAGATATCCAGGAGGATTGCCTCCGGGTTGGGTTGTGGTTAACAAAGTGTTGAGCCGAATCAAGAAACCAGTCCGTCTTCTCGACCTCACTACTCTCTCCGAGTATCGCAAAGACGCACACCCTAGCCTCTACAATGGTCTCTCAAAGGGTCTAGACTGTAGCCATTGGTGTCTCCCTGGTCTCCCTGACACTTGGAATCTACTTCTCTACGCATCCCTTACTTCCTAACTAGTTCTCGTTTTACATATTGATTTGTACCAATTATGAATAATTTGTTGGATTCATGTGATTGTGATTGAGAATTCTTGCTTTGTTAATTTATTTTTACAATGTAATTAACATTATTAATACTCGTTACATCACCAGCTTAATTAACTTCCACATTGATTTTGTTGTATTTTTATTTGTTAACATATAACGTGAGTATATACACTTTTTAAGTCACAAGGCAAAACTTATGTGAAGGGCATGTATTAAGGACCAGTACTTCACGCATATATTATCCAAACCTTTTGAACACTCCAACCAAATTTAACAAGGCCACAAAGAGTGAGAGGAAGAGGTTTGAATCCGTAAAAAAGCGAAAATGTTGGGAGACATCGCTACGAGATGGAAGGAATTAAGCGGCAGTAGCAAATGGAAAGACCTGCTTGATCCTCTTGACTTGGATCTACGCCGTTACATCCTACACTATGGCGACATGGCTGAGGTCGGGTATGTTGCCTTTAATAGTGACAGACGGTCCAAATATGTAGGAGATAGCTGCTACACCAAAAAAGAGCTCTTTGCTAAAACCGGCTACCTTAAAGCCAACCCTTTCAGGTAACAAATGTATATAATTGTGTCATACGGTTTCGGTTTTGGAATTGGTTTCATTTTTATGCCCACCCCAAAATGGAATCATCCAGGTACGAGGTGACCAAGTTCATATATGGAACATCGTCAATAAGGTTACCAGAATGTTTCATAATCAACTCATTGTCAAGGGAAGCGTGGAACAGAGAGTCAAACTGGTTGGGTTACATCGCGGTGGCTACAGACGAAGGCAAAAAGTTGTTAGGGAGGAGGGACACTGTTGTAGCATGGCGAGGGACCATTCAACTGTACGAGTGGGCTAACGATTTCGATTTCCCACTCGAATCAGCTGTCTCGGTTTTCCCTCGAACTGATCCAAATGATCCGAATGACCCGCCTCGCGTAGCCAATGGTTGGTTGTCTCTTTATATAACAGCTGATTCACGTTCGCGTTTCGACAGGACAAGTGCACGAGAACAGGTGTCTAAGAAACAAATGTTTCCTTACTAATTTCACATCTAATTTTAGGATTGTTTTCACGGATTGGCTTGCTTTGCCTGCCTCATCACTAGCTAAGGCTTATCCGAATCTAAAAAATGAGCATCACATGGGGCTATTTTCCAGACCCGGGTCAAGCCAACCCGCAGAATTTTGGGCTTCCTTATGTGTCCCTATGTTTACCACCCCTATCTGTTTTGGTTTATTACTTCTCTTTCTCTGTTTTGGTTTTCAGGTTCAGGGAGAGCTGAAACGATTACTAGCATTGTACAAAGATGAAGAAGTTAGCATCACCTTAACGGGCCATAGCTTGGGTGCAGTTCTCTCGATTCTATCCGCCGCAGACTTTCTCCAAAACGAATGGCCAAAGATCCCAACAAGTCTTCAAAACATGATTTCTTGTGTTACGGTTTTTGCTTTTGGGAGTCCCCGAATCGGCGACCACAACTTCAAAAGACTCGTCGAGTCTTTCAAACAACTAAACATCTTGAGAATAGCAAATGTCCCGGATCTCATTCCGCGTTACCCGGTATTCAGGTTCACAGATGTAGGGCAGGAGCTCCAGATCAACACATTGAAATCGGAGTACCTAAAACGGTCTCTAAACCTGAAGCATTTCCATAACCTGGAGGCTTACTTGCACGGAGTGGCAGGGACACAACACAATCAAGCGGAGTTCAAGCTAGAGATTAACCGGGATATCGCGCTGATCAACAAGGGTTTAGATGCTCTTCAAGATAAGTACTTAGTGCCAGGAAACTGGTGGGTTCTTGAAAACAAAGGAATGGTTCAAAAAGAAGACGGGACATGGAAGCTCGATCGCTGTAAGCCAAAG